TGCCCCGCCACACCTGCTATCCGGATGCATCTGCTTCACCCTTACAAATGCTGATGGAGTCCAACCTCAAACATCTCCAGCGCTAATGACCCACCCACTCACCGCCCCCGACACACGCACAGAATACCCTTGTATAAACACGCACACATGCACGAACGCACGTACAAAGATGTGTAAAGTCAGTTTTTGAAATTGACCATTATTTTTGTAAGTAACAATGAGTGTGGTAATTACTGGCTATGACGTACCTATCATGTACCTCGGTAGAATTAGTGTTACACAGGGCTCGTCATCTCGTCCAATTATCGCACGAAACTATCGTCGAGGAACTGTAAAGCGAGAGTAGAATCACGGAGCAGCAGCTGAAATCAAATTTCCATGATGTGTTAGATTTCTCGTTGATACTAATGATTAAGAGTTAAGCACAGGTATGTCAACACACAGGTGAGGGGACGGCTTTGTCTACACTAGAATTTAGGTGTTATTTAAAGATATTTATGTGTTGTAATTTGGTGTGTTTAATAATACATGCATTTTCATGAGTTGTAGTATACATTCACACAACTACTGTGTCATGTTCATCATTGAATGTATACTTAATGCAAGACTTATGTGTCATTCAGGTTTTTACTGCCACACAGTTTATTGTGGAAAACTCACCTCACGCATGGCTGTTCCTCTTACGCTGCTGGAGGAGTTATTACCTCTCTCTCGCCTCCCGGATACTCCAACAACACTCGTTAATTTTTCCCCAAGTGATCTAGTGTGATTCATACTTCAGTTACGAGGTAGTGTAAGGTTGTCAACATTATCAGAGTCACTTGTTATTTTCCTTGTATTGATTGTATTGTAAGACTGATATAATGGGACGAGTTCATTTGTCCTTAATACTAAAGAAGAAAATATTAGCATACGAAAGTTTAAAATTCTGGGTCCAGGTTCACTCGTAGTGCTGTCTGCTGTAATGTCCATCTCTTACAACATAAAGTGACTCGAGTTACAGGCACTCAAACTACCCGGTACAAACAGCTTAAGGAAGAACGATGGGAAAATAGTAGACAGATATAAAAACAATATATACAGGGCTCCTACACAGTACACTTTAAAAGGGCGAAGCTCATTAACGTAACATATATTAATAATGAGCCAGTGAGGTAATGTAATCTTAAGCCTATGCTGTAGGAGGTTCAGTCTGTACCTCACTTGGGTACTGTACAAGTACTTCATGAATATTCATCCCGATATGCAATAAGGAATGTTAATTTGCCTTGCTAATAGACCCGCTTTATGAATTCTGGCCTGGTATGGAGGTAGTACATGGAGGCCCCGAATCTTGTGTGTGTAGGAGAGGTGCAGGGGAGAGTACTGAACCCTACCTTGGTCTAACCGTGTGTGAGGTGCCCGTACACTGTCTGGGAGATAAGAGGAGGGAGGGTTCACGTGTGTACTCTGGGTACCTTGTATGTGAAAGAAATTCTGGGATAATTTCTTCCTTTTGAGTCATGTAAATGTTTGGTTTATTTTGAGAACTTTTTATACTATTTTTAACATCTTCTTGTACGTGTGTATGTCGGTGAGGGGTAGGCGGGGGGGGGGGTGACGAGGACCCATAGTCAGCCTCAGTGGCACTATGTTGTGTGAAGGGGATGGTGACTCGGAGCGCAGGGTCGTGTACCCTCCCTGGGGCCGATGTGAATGATGACAATGGGTGCAATAATTACGGGTGATCCGATCTTTTGTTTACATAGAGGCGTGGCTGGGGGAGGGGGAGGCTCGTGCCGCGCCCTCTACCCTCCCGGGTTCCTTGCTGGGCCCGCTTGACCTTCTTGCTTCAGTCAAGGTCACCACAGCATCCCTTCCAACTATGCAGCCTCCAGCTTACACTCATTGATGATAAATAATGTTTATCGTCCTGTAAGAAACGAGGAACTAATAAGCGAAGCGAACAGCAGGGTTGAGGGAGTACAGGCGGCAGTACCAGAGTTCACTAGCCGGCCGGCCGTTAAGACCCCCAGGCCCGCACCGTTCAAACTTAAGAGACTCTTGCAAAAAAAATCGTTACAACTCCACGCTTAGGGCTTGGCTTTCAAAAATTGCTATAACTGTCTTGGTTTATTTCTCGTGTTAGATGTATTGAAAATGAAAGAGCCTAAACTTGAGTACAGGGTCTCCATAAGGGCACTCACTTTACCACATGTTGCCTAAACATCTCCGAGTCATAGCATCTTCAAAAAGTGTCAAAATGTTATTATTCATTCACTAAATTTACTTAAGAGTACACTATACACTTCGATAGCTCAAACTTTAGCACCACTGCGGAATCAACAGCACGAACTATGACCAGTCAGATGTAAACGGCGAGGCGGCGGGGTAACGGTGAGCTGCCAGACCCGCCCCGTGTTTACTGACCAGCAGCAGAGACTTGGCTTCACCCTCGAGACTGCATAAATATTCACCATTTATTACATACGCCGTAAGAGTTTCGCCGTGTGTAATTAACTACTTACGAGACCATCTTGTGGTGATGTAAGCTTAGACTGTGTTATTACGTTTACCGTCATCTTAAAGCAGACTGTCGAGGTTTTGTAAGTAAATGATAACACGGAAATCTAATATACCCTCAGCTGATGAAGTAGATGTCTGAAATACACTGATTTACGTAGTATAGTGAAAACCACCTAAAACGAATCCTGAATCAATACAACTCCCATGTCCCGTGATTGATAGTAATACACAACTAGGTAGGTTACAGACAGGATAAAGTAACCCCAAGTAAACAAAATAGTAAAGGATCATATATGGCTCATTCCTAGTCGATTTAGTTAGACGTGAACCTGGATTGATACTGTGTACTGAGCACCTAAATTTAACCTGTAGAACAAATGGGCTTCCAAACTACTATTCTTAAATCTTGTCCGTCTAGAACCGAATTGTAAAGTACCTCATGTTATCCTAACCCTTCTTCCTCCTTTGGTAAACAAACTATTTACCACTAGACATGTTTACAGGTGGGGGGGGGGTTGTAGCTTATAGTCATCATTGAGGTCGTTAGAGTATTGCTTGCGTCCTCACCCCACGTCGCCTCATCTAGAATTGGTTGTGGTTTAATAATACTGATTCACCCGATCGTCCAGATTGATATTGATTTTATTCAATGAAAAAAGGAAGAGAGAACGCGCCCCTCGGACAAGGCCATCAAGGCGACACTACCACGAATTATATCGGGAAGGACACCCTCAAGGACACGGTGTGCAAGGGTCAGTTTCTCTACACAGGCGAGCGACTCGTGGATCTTAGAAGGGAGATTCCTGCGAACTGTAGAATACGTCAGGGTGTACAGCGCAACATCACAGAGGTCATCAGGGGTGAGGGGAAGGCGGTGTGTCTCGGGAGATAAGGTGGCGTGAGGGAGGGGCAGGTGACGTATGCCTGGGTTATCCACTCCTTCTTCACCACCACACTCACCGCCTACACTTACACACAATAACTCACATCAGTAATTGATTGACCATGATCATCTTGCACTTGGCTAAGAAAATAAAACCAGGTAAGAACGTCTTCAAACTTACCTATAAATCAGCTCTTGTGAAGTAAATGTATGAATAAATAAATGTTAATAATCTATTATAGAAATATATCAACGTCATGTAAGTTTAGATTGTGAAATATAAATGCGAATTATATCATGCAATAATTTTTTTTATATAATCTTAGAATTATCCCGCGTCAACCCTTTAGGTAAATAACACGTTTTAATAGAGTAATTGAGTGAAAACTCTTCTTACCAAGGTGAGCGTTCTTATCAGTTAATGACAGTTCCGTGTTTTGGGAAGTAATGTTACCACAACACCTGTACCAGTGTCAATCGTGGCAGGTAGAGGTGTTCCAACATGATGTACAGGTGTGTTCTGTGACCACGTACTACAGTAGAACCGCAGCACATGTAGAGGTGTAGCAGGGGACCACCAACATGGTCATCCCGCCTCTAGCCATCTGGTAAATGAACGTGTAGAACGAACAGTTTTTGATTTCATCGTGTAAATGACAGATAGCTCCAGTTTTTGCGGGTAGTTGTATCATATTCTGGCATAGGGGTGTGGTCATGGCCAGGAGGCTGACGTCACACCAGGATTCAGTTGCTGTCATCTGACCGGCCTGAAGATAAAGTCTGTCTCTGTGCAATAATTTTACTAACTTAAGCATTTCCTCTTGACTCCACCCGTCAACAAAGTCAAATACTAACGTCATAGAGGAAGTATCTCTGTTTGATCATGTTGTTATGGAGAGAGAGAGAGAGAGAGAGAGAGAGAGAGAGAGAGAGAGAGAGAGAGAGGGGTATATCCTAAGCTATATTTTTATTTAAGGCCCTGTGCAAACTCTTTCCTCCTCTCTTTAGCATCAATACAGAGTCAGTTATGTATCAATTTCAGTAGACTGTGGAAGAATTGTGCACACCCTTTATTGGTCAATCACAGTCAGGTGTTATTTAATTACTTCTGCACAGGAATTAATATACACACCTCAATGTACCTGAAAATTTATTTTATTTTGTACAGTGATTTAATGTATAAATTCACATTTAACATTTTTGGGATTACATACGAAGGAACGTTTACAGTAAATAATTTATATATATAAAATAAATTGGAAAAAAACAAAGAAAAAATGGAAAGGTTTGAACACGCTAAAGGCTATGTCGTGTGGAGGAGAGAAGTATGTACATAGAGACGAACACTACGGCACCACGGCTGACACACCCAGTGGAGGTCACATCCATCTACAGCCAGGGGAACACCACCAGCTACAGTCTACAGCCAGGGGAACACCACCAGCTACAGTCTACAGCCAGGGGAACACCACCAGCTATAGTCTACAGCCACGGGAACACCACCAGCTACAGTCTATAGCCACGGGAACACCACCAGCTACAGTCTACAGCCACGGGAACACCACCAGCTACAGTCTACAGCCAGGGGAACACCACCAGCTACAGACAGCCAGGAACACCACCAGCTACAGTCTACAGCCACGGGAACACCACCAGCTACAGTCTACATCCACGGGAACACCACCAGCTACAGTCTACAGCCAGGGTAACACCACCAGCTACAGTCTACAGCCACGGGAACACCACCAGCTACAGTCTACAGCCACGGGAACACCACCAGCTACAGTCTATAGCCACGGGAACACCACCAGCTACAGTCTACATCCACGGGAACACCACCAGCTACAGTCTACAGCCAGGGTAACACCACCAGCTACAGTCTACAGCCACGGGAACACCATCAGCTACAGTCTACAGCCAGGGTAACACCACTAGCTACAGTCTACAGCCTGGGGAACACCACCAGCTACAGTCTACAGCCAGGGGAACACCATCAGCTACAGTCTACAGCCAGGGGAACACCACAAGCATCTGTCATCACTTGGGAACCATCATTTTAACTACCAGTAGAGAGACAAGGTTTGAGCTATCTGTGGACGGGCGGTTTTATTTTATATTATATGAAAGTAGAAGTTGTGGGCGTCCGTGAGAGATAGAAAGAAAGGAATTGACAGCAGACCAACTTATAATCGTTCATCTGACAGTCTCTTCTGGCCAGGTATTCACTGTAGGGTAAGCTATCAGTGTATAGAGCACAGGGTATTGTCCAAAGTTTACTATCATCACAACAGGGTTCAAGCTTCCTTACTTTGATGATATCGCCAGGGATCTTGAATAGCCTCAAGAGACAGAGCTAAGAAGAGTTCAACACCATCGTATGAGATAATACAGAAAAAAAAGATAGATTAACTTTTTTAGGTAGATAAGAAAAAAAAAACTGGCTCACTTATATATACTGTACAGTAATTGATATTCCGAAGAGAGTTGCGTTGTGAAGTTTATTACGTACATTTTCTATGGCATATCTACAGAGGCATGAGCTTTTGAGACTATAATTTCGTATTGGTGATTTAAATGTGGTGGTGAAGGAAGATTGGAGGGAAGAAACACAGAGAGACCAAACTCTGGTATTGTGAGTGGCTGATGAGGGCGCCTGACGCTCACACTTGAGGTGGTGTTGACGGGGTCTGAGTATAATCCTGGGATTTTTTCTCAAGTGTGGCGACAGTTGACCTCACCAGGAAGATACAAACACTGGGAACATTATATAATACATAAACATCTTGTAATATGTACTGTATACAAAATTATGCACCGAGAAAATTTTTATTATAAAATATTTTCATACAAAATGGAAACTTAATTGTTAAGAAGAGTAACTATACATAGGTCTATATACATTTAACGAACATTCTAAGACCTTGAGAACACGAGAGCTCAAGAGAGTAGGTTATTGGAGGTGGGGTTGCCTGACCGAACTGGATTTCCAGTCATACACGGCCCTTGGGTTAACACTGGCCACTGATGGTTGCTGCAGCCATCACTTCTGTTCCCTCTGCTGGCCTGCAAGGTACTGACTGGATGTAGGTATCCCAGGCAGCCTTGAAGTGGCTGTGTTAGGAAGCCCCGAAGTGGCCTTCCCGGGAAAATAGATGAGGCTGTACACTAACACTATATAAATCACCACAAGCTGGACGCTTCCAGTTTGTACTTGAAGTTTATTTATGATAGAAAACATCTACAGTACATTGGCTTTTTCATTTTCTGTTATTGAACAGATCAAATATTGTTCATAAATTGTACGTCAGAATATTTACTATAATAAGTTTATAAAAATGTTTGTGTTTATTATGTCATTTATTGATTTTTATTTTAGTTGCCTGATAGTTGTTATGATGTCACCACTTGCACAGACTCACGTTAACTTATATTTTTTTCTTATCATAAGCAACAACACATACGAGTTTCTTCTCAGGTATCGTGAACTCGCCCCGAGAAATTTTATTACAAGTATTCACTCACAAAGATTTTCTTGAAGTCGGGTTCTTGGCGTGGCGCGGGAACAGGGAGTGGCGAGTGTGTACGGTCGCCAGAGTCCGTGTAAGGAACAGCTGGTTTGGATGATGCTCGGTCAAGCACACGGAACAGCTCCTCTACAGACAACACTGACGGGTCTTGGATGGTGATTATTCCGTTTCTCCTTCGTGTTTTATCCATAACAGCCACTTGCATGCCGTTAGTGCCTGTTCCGCTGTTTACCACTGTGCCGCTGTGGTTGCTTAGGGTGGCGGGAGTAACTGTTGGGTTCTTCCTGGCCCTCTGTTGCATTCCCTTGGCACGCTGGATCTTGTGTTGGCGTTTGACTCTGCTACCCGTTGTTTCTGGTGCTCGCCGTTTCTGGTAAACTTCGTGCAAGGCGCTTTCGCTCTTGCCTTCGCCTACCCCACCGTTCTCGACGGCTGCCAGAACTGATAAGTCGCCCTCAGATCGCGACACTTCTACAGAGTAATGGAGACTGGTACCGGCCTCGTCCTCAGCCAGGTAGAGGCGGTATAGACTCAGCATGGATTCACTCTTAACAGGAAGAATGAACATCATTTCTTCTTCCTTTTCTGGGTTGGGATCAAGTCGGTCTAAGTCATTCATAGACAGCGAAGAGGAACGATGCTTGCGAGAGAGAGTTCCGTCACCTGTCTTCTCTGTGTCTTCCTTGCTCAAGCGAAGATCCAAGCTGTCTACCGGGCCACGATCTCGGAAGTAATCTTTTTTTAATTCCAGTGTGTCGCATTCGAATCCAGTGTTGTAAAACCCAATTTCAGGCGAGTCTTCATTGTCATCTTTCTTGCTGTCTTTACTGTTGTTAGCGTTATTCTCGACAGTAGCGGTGACCTGGGAACATGAGGATCTAAAGGATGAGGCCGTAGAGTAGGTCGTCGAGGATTCTGTGTTGGTAGAGAAATGGTAAGCGTCCTCGGGGGCGGAAAGGTGGGCCTCGGGCGGCAACTGTGCTGGCGGTCGGTTAGCAACTGACATAGAGCAGGAGTCTACCATGGTGTTACTCTCAGTCGTGTAGCGCACGGGTTCAGGTGTGACGGTGGCTCGAGGGTCGTGGAACTCGAAGTCATCGTTGGCCACAGTGGTGACAGAAGAGCAGCGCTGGTCATCTCCGAGGAAGCCATCGCTGAGGGATGACATTGAGCCAAAAGTTTCAGAGAGTGTGGCGTAGATGTGGTCTTCCTTCAGGGAACTGTCCACACTACCGACCTGTGGAGAAGGAGGTATTCCTTGATTAACGTTAGCGCGTTTATAGGTAAATAGGAAACAAAACCTGACGACCACTGAAGGTGATATACAGTATATTGTACCGCTAGGGTTTCTATGTCACACAAAGGCCATAACCGTGGCACATGTTTACTTGCAAAAATGTAAATGATGAAAAGTTTTAAAAAAGTTCTTAAAATTACAGTTGGTACATGGTGTCACTGTTGGTCCCCATTGAAATTGGCGGTGCATATTTTTGTTTCAAAATTGCTTGAATATTATGGCAGGTTTGACTATGTGAACACTATGACTGTGCCTAAAACAAGTAAATCTTAAGAACTAGCAGATGGGTGGTACCTTAGAGAGCGGGTCGGAGTAGATGGGGTCCTGGCTGCTTGTGGCAGCCGAACCCAGGGACTCTGTAGGTTCCCGCGGGAAGTATGGCGGGCCGTAAGGGTCCCTCATGCGTGCCGGCGCCCCTGTCCCCACAAGGCCGCGGATCTCTTGCGATGATACCCCCATCTTCAGTCCCACTCCACCACCTGTATGCCAGGAAGAGATACACAGATTAGATAACAGCAGAAAAGAAGAGCGTACCTAATACACCATTACTGTATAAAGCCGCCGTAGTATGTCATCTTTGCTCCAAGACAAATGAGGTTTTGTAAGCCATGTATTGCAGCAGCACTGTCTGGACCCAGCAATAAGTGACCATGATAGAGGCTGGGATGTTTACTGCCTGGTGCCCCTTTGCTGCCTGACCCCGGCCTCCGGGCCACCACTGATTGTGACCAAGCTGAAGCAACAGTCAGTCAATTACGTGACACTGCCGTGGCTAAATCATACTCCTTTTAACGTTGCGTTCTCTTCGCATTACATCACCGTCTAATTATCACAAGATAATATCATTCCTGGTCCTAAATTTCTGACAAGGTATAAGCAAGAGAAATAACAATTTACTTTCTCACTCGTGCGGTAATTGCATTAGATTTTACTTATTATTGTAAATAAACACTGAGTTTACATATGAACCGCTACCCAGGGGCTTCAGGGATGCTGTCTGAGGTTAAGGGTGGAGCGGTAGGGTCGAGGAAGTAAGTCAGGGTTTGTGCACCAAGTGGCCCCTCAGTTTACTTTCTCCAAAGTGTCAAGTGACATTGTAATATGTGTGATGGAGCTTGAAAACCCCACACTACGGTGCCAGAATATTTCTTAATGCATGTTATCACATCATTTTTACAGATGTAGTTGCCATAACAACATCAACACAAATAATTTAATAAGCGACCTTAATTTAAGCATGACCTGGCCTCCCGTGACTTCCGTAAGCATGACCTGGCCTCACGTGACTTAGTTAAGCATGACCTGGCCTCCAGTCACTTCCTTAAGCATGACCTGGCCTCCCGTGACTTCTTTAAGCATGACCTGGCCTCCCGTGACTTCTCTGAGCATGACCTGGCCTCCCGTGACTTCTCTGAGCATGACCTGGCCTCCCGTCACTTCCCTAAGCAGGACTTGGCCTCCCATGAAGGGCACGAGAACTCTGGACTGACCTCGCCGGTAGGAGGGCAGGATCTGGGAAGGGTTGTCGACGTTCATGTTAAGCAGAGAGGAGAAGAGCGAGCCGTTCGTCAGGGGGAACGACTTGACTTCCTCCTTCGGGAACAATCGGAAGGGACCATCGCCGTCTGTAGGAGGCAAGAAAGTAACGTTAGTGGACAGGGGCGTGGGAACAGTGAAGGAATGTGAAGTAGACAATGTTGAGTATATGTAAGAATTAACTAAATATTAAGCAAAAAGTAAAATAATAACTAGAATGATCTTGAAAATTTGAAATATAATTGGTAATGAAAATTGAAATATCTAAAAAATATACAACAAATCATAAAAATAATGGAAATTGGATAAGAAAATACTAATTAAAATAACAGGTATAATACATGGTAGCTATTAATAGTATTGTATAATTACGTCAAGATGTGAACTACGAAAAAAAAAAAGATAATTGTAATGGCAACAAAAACTGTCTCCTGGGAATCATGGCTCGTGGTTGTAAAAAAGAGTGACAGGAATGAAACGTGTACAGAAACATGTTAATTTTGAGGAAGAAGGTGAGGAATATGAGAGGAAGATGGTGAGGAATATGAGAGGAAAATGGTGAGGAATATGAGAGGAAGATGGTGAGGAATATGGGAAGAAGATGGTGAGGAATATGAGAGGAAGATGGTGAGGAATATGAGAGGAAGATGGTGAGGAATATGAGAGGAAGATGGTGAGGAATATGAGAGGAAGATGGTGAGGAATATGGGAAGAAGATGACTGGCGAACAATATGAGGGAAGCTTATCTGAGGTTATCAATGTCACCTGTATCTCTCTCGACCAATCAGAAACCAGCAAAAGGCATTAAATCACCAGACCGTATCCATATGCTAATCACTTTTGAGGAATCATGTGACGAGTCTCGATGTCAAATTTGAAGTCAGTTGGGTAAGAGAGTCAGTTGAATATTCCTGACTGGACGGTTGAATTCTTGTACAGGTACCTATACGGCCCTCTCTCTCTTGCTCTACTGACCCAGGATGATAAGAATGACGTATAATGGACACACCGGTTAAAGACATTTGCGAAGCGTAAATAAAAACGAGTAACACAAACAATAATAATAAGTAATTCGTAGGTATTGAAAAGTATAGTGGACTTTTAAAGATGAAACACAAACGATACATTTCAGTACTTTTAAAATCGTGTATAACAATGGAGATTACACAGAATAATTCCTTCATTAACTAGTTTTGGATTTTAGGTTCCAGTCTCACTTACCTACAGTACAAGACTCAAAAAGATGCCACAAGTGCCCAGGATATGTTTTTTTTTTCTTCTTCTTCAGTACCTGTAAATCAATCCGCCAATTCAGATGCCTCTCTCATGTCTGGGACTCTAGTGGAATTTCCTCTTTGTTTCGTCATATTGTTTCAAATTATTCTATTTCTCTCATATCACTATTTTTCCGAACTCTCTCTCTCTCTGCTTCTACGTTACTTAACACATTTTCTCTACTTGACAAAACAAGATTAAGTAAATTAGTCGCTTGGTATAGGTTCATATATATATATATACTATAATGTATTTGAGGAATCAGCTTCAAAGTTTTTCTAATAAACTCTCCTGGTTCTAAAATTCCTGCTAGATTTGTCCACATTCTTTTATTGAAGTTTGTCACCTCTGCAATGCGAAGTTTCTGTATGTAGTTACCTTAATGATCTCAACATCCCTAAATAAGTGTCACCTGTCGTCCACACCTATCTGATTGTTGACGACTTGTATTACTAGTACCTCCAGCGTTACAGACAGACAGACAGACACAGACAGACAGACAGACAGACAGACTTTTTTATGCATTATTTTAACTATACATCCCTCCTTACGTAACACATGAATGCGTTCACCATTTTACAATAGGTCATGGTCACTCCTTTACCACCTTCCCACTTTGACTTACCTTCTGTGGTGATATTGTTGCACCACAAACCCCCCCCCTCAATACTCCTCCATGTGGCTTACCTCACACCGCACCAACACAACCCCTCACTCGCCAGTAGATAAAATCATTGCCCTCCACCCCCCTTCCATCCCTCCTTCGTGCCCTCCACCCCACTCTCCATCCCTCCTACGTGCCCTCCTCGCCCCACTCCATCCCTCATACGTGTCCTCCTCCCCCCTCTCCATCCCTCATACGTGTCCTCCTCCCCCCTCTCCATCCCTCCTTCGTGCCCTCCACTCCCTCTCCATCCCTCCTACGTGCCCTCCTCCCCTCCTTCCATCCCTCCTACGTGCCCTCCACTCCCTCTCCATCCCCCCCTCCATTCCTCCTACATGCCCTCTAACATCTGGGAGGGTCATGCCCAGAACTTAGCGTAACGACTAAACAAGTTACATGCTAAATGATGTCGACCAGAAACACCCGTAGAATACCAAGCAGCAGCGAGTGACAGTTTGATGTGTGGTTGACTGTCGCTACCACCTGTACTGTACCGCCAGCCTGGGAAGACACCTTTAGTCTTTTATTTTTCTTTCTTTTTTTTCGCGTCACACCAGCACCACATCCCTTATCACACCAGCTCCACATCCCTTATCACACCAGCTCCACATCCCTTATCACACACCAGCTCCACATCCCTTATTACACACCAGCTCCACATCCCTTATCACACCAGCACCACATCCCTGACAGTGGTACTATCTTGCCACATCAGTTTCACCGTGTATACCAACAGCGCACGTTACCAATAGAACCAAGTCCCACAGAATCTTGAATTGTATGCATATATTTACTTCCTACATGACGAGCTAAGAGAGAACTCACTCAGTCTGAACCTCTGAAGCTGAATACAAAAGTTGGAGATCGATTTTTGTTGATTGCCAAGTCAGGTAGTTTAGTTAAGCTTGTGCTACATTACTGGACTGTCTCAATCTATTACCGTAATGTGTGTGTGTGTGTGTGTGTGTGTTCGGGAGGGGGGGGTGGCGGGTGTGGGGTAGGAGTGGGGGCAGATAGGGGTGAGGGGGGAGGGGTGGGCCAGCAGTTTCGCCGCCTCATCTTGCACAACTTCTCCACTAGACCAGATGCCAGTGTTCCTGCTGCCCGAACAACGCCAGTCTCACGAGGGCCGCTCACGACACCAACAGTAATGACAGGTTTTCGCTGCCGGTGTACCAGGTCAAAAATCCGCCGAGGAAACCCGACAGGAAGAGAATGTACAGACAGACAGACGGACGGAGGTGGACGGTGAAGGGGGAAGAATGTTGGAAGAGGTTGCTGTGCTAATTTGATAATGACAGTACAGCAACGAATGATGATCAATACGATAACCATAACAACCACGATAACGACCGTAAAAGTTACAATATTCTACAGGAGTTGGAGGATTGGCAATGTCAAGTGTACTTAGTATGGGGAAGGAAGGTGATGTTGGTGGGAAGGGAGAGAATAATGATGATGGGACGGGGAAAATAATAAGTGGGGAGGGAATATAGTGCTTGCAGAGGGAAGGAATAAGGTGATGGAATGGAGAAATGGTGTTGGGAAAGAGGAAGGAAGGTATCTAGGGCTGGGAAAGGGAGGTTACAGTAATGGGAGAGGGGAGGGAAGGAGGAGTAGGAAAGGCTTGTAATGTTGACGGAATGGAAGGTGCACGTAAGGAGTAGCAGCTTGAGAGAAGGAGGGAAGGAAGGCTGCGACACGTTAGAAGGTTAGCGTGTGGTGGTGTCAGAGAGGCGCCCCGTGGTAAAGGGAAGTCTTAGCAGTGGCCTCTTTTTATTTCGGGTGTGGTGGGCGGTTGGGAGTGAGAGTTGGAGGGGGGGGGGAATAGGGAGAGGTTGTGTGAAGGCGAGGGAGGGTGGGAGGGGGGGTATTGGAGTGACATGATTGGAAGTTGGAGTGACTTGGAGTGTGGCTGGGAGTCACCACCACTTCGGTAATACCTGAAGGATGCCGCTCGTGGTTCATCCCCCCCCCTCCCCCCATACGTAACAGATGAAAGAACATTTGAATATTCTTGGAAATATTCACAAATTCTTCCTTCATTTGGTATAGTGTATTTGAAATCTTCTTTTATGCACAACTTTATCGTTTTATTGAACTTGCCGTGGCTAAATTTTTTCTTATACCAAATCTTCCAACATCTTATTTGTTTTACGTATTCCGATTTTTTTTTTCGTACAATTTTGCTACTTTTGAAGTGTGCTCTGTTAATGTTTACATACATATTATTTATTCTTTACACTCTTCACTGACCATTGTGGGACAAGGTTACTCATTTTACTAATGCTATTTTTAAAAGAATTTACGTAAAAGTGTTTAATATGGAATCTAAATAAAACTTTACGAGTTAACGCAGTGCTGCAGTGTTTATTAATGGAAACTCATTAAACCTGATATAGCTGTATGGTACTCAGGAGTGCGGTATGTAATAAGATATTAATATTATCAGCAGCAAGCCCTAACGAGGCACACTGGTGATCCAGCCGTGAGGTTACCAACAGTGTGATCTATGTAGCCGACCCGCGTGCATGTAGCATGTTAATGGGCAGCACTCAGGCAGGTGAAGGTGAACTGCCCACTCAATACCTTCCTGATTTTGAATTCCTGAGCTACAGCGTCGCAGCAGGAAGCCGGCCGCCTCCCTGACTTCCAGGATGGGAGTACACGGAGACTGGAACCGTCCAGGCGAGGCTATCCTTGCCCCGCCATGCCGCCTACTGCTGGGGCCACTCTCCTTCGTAAGCCATATTTCATCGACATAATTATGTTGATCGTATATCATTGCTACTCTGTCACCGCTTGGCATAATAATGAGTATATAAACTAAAACTGCAATATCATAGGACTGGAAAATATTGTTGCCGCTTTGAGAATATCTTCAGTACAGAAAACAATACTGAACTGTTTAACAGACCCGACCAACTTTTGCCTTCAGTCTTCAATAAAGTGATGAGATTAAATGTGTTTAACCGTTTATTAGATGGTCTGTGGCTAAAGAAAAGTATTATTCATAAAACAAAACTAAACAACGTATCCATCTTGAACCACAACCGCTGCTGGGACATAAAATATGGTTATTGTGTTCTCGACCAGCGTACAGTATATACGGAGACGCGGGCCAACAGTCACACTATCTACATTAATCACACATTTCACTTCTTTAAAAAAAAATCCCTCCAGATGAGATGCGTCATGGTGGAACAATAGAGAATAATCTGTGTTACGAGACGAGCCGCGGCGGGGCCCAAGGTGAGGAGGGTGTGCTGGGAGTGGTCATTCTTGTTGGGCTATATGGCTGGCCCGGGCGTTACGCGTTAGGGTATGGTTGGTTGGTAACACATTCTTCAGTGCTCTTGCTCGTGGCCATTACACTCTGGGGAACTGGGGTAAGACTTGGTAATAATAAGGGCTAGTCTACAGTTGAGTTTTTCGTAATAATAATAATAATGAATAAATACCTTTTTCTCAGGAACATATAATTTATGGTCATACCCCAGGTATCCATAGATCGAGTAATGCGATGATGGTGACTCACTAATTTACACCGAGTATTGTATCAAGTGTATTAGAAAGTTACCAGAAGCACTAACGACCATTAACACTTATATGGCCAAGACAGTATTGCCAGCTAGTCAAGTGTCAGTGTTGCCAGGGTAAACAGTCCCCTCAGTCAGCCATAGTGTACAGGACGAGGGTGTAGCCGCTGTCTCGTCTTTCCCGAATGTTATTTAAAATGCATGATACATATTATGTTTGCCTATTTTTGCTTTAGCTCAGGTTGACCTCGGAGTAAACACACACACACACACACACACACACACACACACACACATATATATATCTCTGACATCTAGCCACGTGGGAGGTAGTCAATAATATGCTTATCATGTCTCAGTCAGCTGTCATGTAAACAATGCGAGATCCATTACATTTAGTGTGTGTACATATACTACTGGGCTTATGTGTAGGTATATTAGTGCTTTTATGTGTGTGTGTGTGTGTGTGTGTGTGTGTGTGTTGTAGGAGCAGCACATACCAGCCACACCTCCCGGACACACTCCCCGCCCAGCACCCATGAGGCGCCACACTGGGGCTCTCCATCCTTTCTTGGCTCCTTCATCCCTCCTTCCCTTCCTGGCTCCTTCATCCTTCCTTCCCTTCCTGGCTCCTTCATCCCTCCTTCCCTTCCTGGCTCCTTCATCCCTCCTTCCCTTCCTGGCTCCTTCATCCCTCCTTCCCTTCCTGGCTCCTTCATCCCCTTCCCTTCCTGGCTCCTTCATCCCTCCTTCCCTTCCTGGCTCCTTCATCCCTCCTTCCCTTCCTGGCTCCTTCATCCCTCCTTCCCTTCCTGGCTCCTTCATCCCTCCTTCCCTTCCTGGCGCCTTTATGAATTTAGGGAAAAAAAAATCACACGGAAAAAAGTCAAAGTATTAACTGGAGACAGGTTGGTCTCTGGTCTTGCTAAAAAAACACATTCAAAACCTAATCTAACCCAACTTAACGTAACCCAACCTAACCCAGCCCAACCTAACCTAACCTAACTTGTGGGGTAATTAAATTAGGGTGACTTTTTTTTTTACGAGATGATATTGTAATTGTTTTCTGGGACTTTATTTCCATTCACCTCCTTTCTTGTCTTACCTCCCCCTCCTCCCTCGTTCTTATTTTGGTTTCATTTTTTTCCTGCCTCCCAGTTCTCTCTCTTATCTCTACCTCCCGCCTCTTCTTCCCACCTCTCCGTCCCATCTCTCCCCCTCGCCCCTCCCTCCCGCCTCTCCCTATCAGTGTCACCAGACAACACACCATCAATGTCACCATCACCAGACAATGGCCACATCTTCGCTCTAAAGAACCGAGGCAAAAATGTGGGCCACACGACGTGCTTGTTTGTGCGAGGGATCAGTGATGTTTTTTATTTATTTTTTATTTATCCTGAAAAATAAATGAGTGGTGCAATGGGAGTTAATGGCATTATAGTTTTGGATATACTGACCGTCATACTTGTGGGGTAGAGGCTTGTCTCTGGAGCAGGAGGAGCCGGCCGCTTCGCTGAAGGTGGCGTCGACGAGGCCCAACACTATCGGGAGAAGGAGGCCCTCGGCCAGGGAGAGCCAGAGAGCTATGTTCTCGATGGGCCAACTCGGTAGAAACGACGACAGAAACGTCCCCACCACCGTCAGCCCCTGCGGCAGAAAGAATTTTTTTTGTAATAATTGGTAATTTATTGTTAGATTATATACAGGTATGGATTACAAGTACAGTACACAAGTCCATATAAGAGGATACTTGGTTTATCAAGCTCAGTATTATAAGGCATCAGGAAATAGCTGTACAGTACCATTTCGGTTACTTTACACGTCACAGACTGACAAAGTTTTATTTCACAGTATATTTGATATGGGTATAAATAAAAACACATTGTAACTTATTTTTACAAATGTTTATTCATTGTCTGACTAGAAATTAGCCAAACATATAAAATTTCCGTAATTTCCGTATTTCCGGAAGATTGACGTCACGGCGTCCGTAAACGTCATCAGCAGACGACGTAGAAGACGAATTTCCTTAAAACGGTAGCCCTGGTGTGAGCCCAGGAGCCGAGGAGTGTAGTATACAACGCGAGTGTAAGCACAAAACGCCGTGAGTCAGAGACCCTCGAGTGTGCTTAATTACTGTACAAGACCAACCCAAAGTGATTATTCGCTTATCAGTGTCAGTCAACAGCTGGTGTGCTCACGGTAAACAAACATTCTCACTTAACTCACAAACTTTTAAAAAAAATTCTCCGATCGGTTAGAGTGAGGAAACTTCATTGGTAGACTCCAGGGGGCTATTATATATTTGAAACCCGTTGGACCATTAAACATTAAATAATATAAGTATCGGTATATTGTTCTGAAATCATCAAGAGTGTCCATGATAGGTATAACTCACCATGAGACAGTGTAGGTGTTGATGAAGGAGCTTATATTATTAACCATTGTGGCAGAGTGTACAGTGGTGTTGAATTCTGTTGTATCTCCCACGACTTGTTTTGATTTGAAGGCAGCAAGTTGTGGGCACGATGGGGTGAGTACAGAGTAGTCGTGTCCTCACCTCCTGTACCCATTATAATGACGTCAACGAACACATTAACTCTAAATTACTCTAGTCAGTGTTGGTATAGCCGCTCAGGTAGTCCCCATATTAAGCCACTGCTGCCCCACCCGATAACCCAACACCTTCCTTGTCCCCCCCTCCCTCTCCCAGTCTCTTCCCCCTCCCGCCCGCCACTAGCTCTGGAACCCTCACTCACCACCCTGTTACTTCTCTTTATTTTCCTATAGACAATATAATACCTCACTAGACCCACTGCCATAACGTTTAAGATTACCAGTATCGCGTTAACACACCAAATTCACTGTCGCGAAGTCTGGTGAAACGACAACCGAATTCCCATCAGGCAACAGAGCTACAGCCAAAGTAAATAGAACCTTTAGAGTCCCAACCACGATTGCTAGGCCTGCCAGAATCGCAGCCTTGGTTTGCCCAGTACCACCAAACTCACACACTTAGCAGCCAGGACAGTGGGAGTAGCAGGTGAAGTAACCAGAGCTAACCGAGACAAAACCACGTTACAATAATTTTCAAAGCCTAATTACTAGGAAAGGTATCATTGTTGTCGAAGTAGCTAGGGGCACCAAAGCCGCAACCGCAGTAGCCAGGGGCGCCACAGCCGCAGCCTCAGCAGCTATGGGCACCAAAGCCGTAACCTCAGTAGTTAGGGGCACCAGAGCCGCAGCTACAGTAGCCAGGGGAACCACAACCGAAGTTACAGTAGCTAGGAGCACCAGAACCGCATACCACGAGTTAGGACCCACCATGATGTATCGCCTCCAATTTAATTTATTCAAGAGCCTGACAATGAGTTCTAATGAAGAACCATTTTAGGCTCAAGTATGTGATCACCTGGGGAGGAGGAGGTGATAGCGAGAGAACGTACCAAGGGGATAAAGGAAGCAGAGTAAAAAGGGAATATAGATATGAAATTTAGGTGGTGAATTATCCTATATATACACTTACTTAATATTATCGTGCTAGTACATGTGATATTACCAATGTTTATATATAAATTAACCCTGTGTAAGTTTCATATAGTCATAACCTAAACTAATGTATATTTTTATGGAAGTGATTAATTAGCACTTCAACCCACCCTGACTCCATGTTACCTGCCGTGTTCCCAGTGCTCCCGTCTTCCCTCGAAGGCGTTGAGGTGTGTTAGGCTATCACGAAGGTGTGCTTGGCCGAGAGCGGTGTTAATTTAATGTGGTAACGTTCTAACACTATTTACAGGTGGTCTGTCACTGGTGGCCGCGACCAGCCCAGCCCACTGCCTCACCCACCTACTTGTCCAACGCCCAGATACAACTTTGAACTCAACTTGTCGCCCCCTCCTACACGTCATCGTTAACCAGGTGAGAACAGATAGAATGTGACGAGCTAATAGGGTTGATAGGTGTAATCTTTTAGTATTCCTGATAGAGTTTTAATGCGGAGGTGTGGATTAACATTATCTACGCCCTATTAGTAAAGGCTGTGAATTAATGATGAAGGATGAACTACTCACCGCGCAGTGCTGGTTAACTAGGTCTTGATGTGTCTGGTGGCCAGTGCTGTTCTCCCGACACACACACACACACACACACGCTGTCGGGACGCGCAGTTGCTATTGTACCGTAAAGGGGAATTACTCAAGATGACTGACGACATTCCCATGATTACCTTCCTGCGTGCATTATTACCACCCAACCTTTAAAACTAATATGATTATCAACCTTCTCGAACCCGTGATGTGGTATAGCTCCGTTCTCCCGCGAGTCCTGAGTAATCTTGTGATAGTAAAATGTGTCTTGGTTGAATATTAATGGAGCGTCGCCTCGGGTGGGAAGTGATATAATTTTTTTTTTAGGTGTTTGTGTGTACCCCAGTCTGCTATGTTGACCAGCCGTTACCATGGTCCAGTATAGTCCGCTGAACCTCTCCTCGACAGTCTACAAATTGTTGACCACCTGATGCAAGATGTTTATAAGCTGTGGAGTCATTAGTTACCGTGTCTCGAGGTTCCCAACACTCGATTAACAGATATCACAACAGCCCCGACTCTCACCTGAGCTTCTCTTGTAAACAGTTGTTGTGTTTGAAATTGATTGAAGTGATTCTATTTATTTAAGTTAATTTTGGGCAATCAATAATGACAGTTGTGGTTTAATGTGAATTCAGGAAAAAAAGTAAGTTTTTAACGACGCTTCTAAGGTCGACCAGGAAAAAACAGCATCTGGTGATAATATTTCATGATAAGAGTAATACTTGAGGTTAAATATTTTACTAAATATTACTTGAAGTTGTTGTAACATGTTGCAAAGTAACTGAAAGCCTTTATTAATAACCTGAAGGACGTAATCAGTCCTAAAATTAATTGATTCTCCTTTTTTTCAAATATTCTTTTGCTTAACGTCAGTCACAGACACACACAATATACTCAGGAATAAAGTTGATCTCCTTATAGGTCTTCTACCACGAGACACAAGTCAGGGTGAAAAGCTGAAAGTCTCCTGTTATTTATTTTCGAGGGATGCTAAAATAATTTCCCGAGAAGTTGTCAAAATCTAACGCTAGTCACAGTGGAAATGTCCTCCCCCTTCACTCTATCAGTTGACCCCACAGCCCGGGATTCCCAAACTATCAGCCATGACATGACGATCTCTGAGCTACTGGTGGCAGGGTAGTGGAGGAGCGGCGGCGGCACGTAAAAATTGCAATGCATTTCCTGGTGAACGTGAGGTCATGAGGGTCTTGTCTTGGGGTGAGGTGGCGACGCCCCACACACCCAGCATGAGCAGGGTCACCACACCACAACACAACACTACATTAATTACGTGGTGGTTTTGTTGGTGGTTGTGTTGGTGGCTTGCCGGGGGTTAGGACTCAGGCGGAAAGTCCATGTTAACACTTAGGCCATCGCAGTGTTGTTGAATGTAAGATGTTTTGTCGGCAGACGCCTTAATCTATGAAGCTTCAGTCCCGGTCCTTTTAACATGAATGCTTCTAAATCTAATATATATCCTGGCCCATTAAGGTAAAGCACCCGGAGGCGTGACGTCTGGTGGACTGTCATACTGAGGTTGGTGAGCCCGAGTCTTGAACCAAATGTTAAATGGGAGGAGAAGCTGTTGGTGTGAGGGCCAACACGTGCTGTACGATATACTGTACATGTACTGAAAGATGCAGCACACACGAACAAGCTCACACCTACAGTAAGCACAGTTATAAAGTACAAGAAATCTTAATAATACTGCTCAGCATTATGATGTCAGGCGACAAAAATGAGAAATTATGAGCATTAAAATGTCCACCAGATGTAGGTGTATTGTGGATTACTCCATAATTATGGTGTATTAAGAAGTGCAGCCCGGAAGACTTAACTGTTATTATGACGTCTTTCCCTCTTTGTGCTGTCGTGCTGCAGTTTTCTCCCCGAAGTGGTAACCGGAGCGGGAGTCTATATTGCCAAGATCCAAATTGCAGGTACGAGTATTCCCAAATAGTAGTTTAGGAAGGCTAGATTGAGTTGTTTCGAGTGTTGAGGTTGGGGGAATTAAATCCTTTTTTAATGATTAATTCCAAACGTTTAGACAAAGTGTTTAAAGTAGAGACGTGAAGACATTTTAGTTGAATCTAGCTAATATCTTTTTCTGTTTCTTCTTGTGTTAAAAAGTTCTGTTTGGCAAAGATTCGAGATGAGTGACTAATGATCTGTCCATGGTGGCTACAGTACTTTTATCACATCACTGTATGGTCTCTGCCGTGTCGTCTGATATGAGATAGAGTTGTTGTGGTGGAAGGTCAGACGCCCCAGCTAGCACTATACAACGAGCACCACAACTTTGCATTCTGGGGGAGTAACTATAGGCCCATTCACCCAAGAAGGTCACAGCCGCCCATGCCTTACCGCCCACGCCATGACTGTTCAGCGAGGTGTATACTCAACACGTGTATTAACACCCAACTTACACCACCACCGTGACAACTTTTACATTCTTGCGGCCTCGTGAACCACTAGTCTCGAGTCGTACTTATCATAAGGCTCGAGACATTAGGAAAACCTGCTCGATCCTCAGCCTCCTGTATAATCACTGGTTTA